GTTGTGTAAGAGGGGCTGGGCTGTGTGTGTAGAGGGGCTGGGCTGTGTGTGTAGGGGGCTGTGTGTGTGTGTAAGGGGGGCTGTGTGTGTAAGGGGGCTGTGTGTGTGTAGGGGCTGTGTGTGTAAGGGGGCTGTGTGTGTGAGGGGGCTGTGTGTGTAAGGGGGGCTATGTGAGGGGGCTGTGTGTGTGAGGGGGGCTGTGTGTGTGAGGGGGGCTGTGTGTGTAAGGGGGGGCTGTGTGTGTGAGGGTGGGCTGTGTGTGTAAGGGGGGGCTGTGTATGTAAGGGAGGGCTATGTGTGTAAGGGGGGCTGTATATTTGTGTGTGGTGCAGTGTGTAGGGGGTTATAGTTTGTGTGAGGGGATAGGGGGCAGATTAAAGATAAAAAAAAAAAATTATTATTAAATAAATAAATATAGATAATGTCCCCCCTCCCTTCTTACCTTTGCTGAGGGAGGGGGAGACATCGCTTTCTCTTCCATTCCCTGGTGGTTCTAGTGGTGGAGTGAACTCTAACCTGCAGCTCAGGCTAGAGTTCACTCTCGCGAGCACGGAGCGTTGCCATGCTAACGCTCCATGCTCGCGAGAGGAGAACCCGGCGGAGCTGCAGGTAATAGCTCCCCCGGGTTCTCTCTCTCACTCCCTCCCCTGCCGGCCGCCCAGCAATCTGCCTCTGGGCCGGGGAGGGAGATCACTGATCTCCCCTCCGGTCCGTGATGGCAAACAGCAGGGCTGGTGCTTGGATAGCACCAGCCCTGCATGGGCCGGCAGGGGAGAGCCTCGGGCAGCTATTATTTCTCGGGGGGGGCAATTGCCCCGTTGCCCCCCCCCTGGATCCGCCTATGCACCGCTCAGGGGTGGAGGCCAGGGGGGAGGCTATTTTTTTTAACACTGAGCCACAGGCTGCTCACTGTTTACTAGACATGCCCCTACTCGCGGTATAGCGACTAGGGGCAAAATGTACTCATACTAAGTAATTTTTAATTTAGGTCTTTCAGCCTTTTGGTAGATAACTCCCTAATACCATGGGAATTAGGAAGTTATCTACTAAACGGCTGCAAGAGAAGTGCCGAAGTTGTCGAAGTGCCGAATTGCCGAAGTCCCGAATTTCGGAATGCCGAACCGAAAATTTTTCCCATGCACATGCCTACTATTAACGGATCTATTTATTAATATTACAATATTATTCAGTACAAAGTAAAATCAAGAAATAAAAGAGTTCTGAGCATTGAAAAAAGATATACATACTAAATGTGCAGAATTATCAATAATGATTAATTTGTTCTAATTGTCCACGAAAAGGTGGTCTTAGAGATAAATCACCTCATTTACGTAATAAATCAGAAATGAAAATTAGCTAAAACCAGCTAGAATAAGGCAACAAAAAAAGAGTTATTTCAACAACTACTATCTGACTCTTGCCAAATATTTTGATTCACCGTAGCATACATGACAGTGTCTTTATAGCAAAATGGAGTTTGCTTTGTTAGCACAACTGGTAAGAAATACTTGGAGCAGCAGAAATGTATTATTGCACAAGCCAAAGCCAGGGCAAACATTGTGAATCAAGAGGAGAAAATAGAAGCATTGTTTCTGTTTCTCCTTTTCTCTGTATGCTTTCTCTATGCTGACTTCCAGCTGCAGTGGCCAAAGCGTATAAAAATGGTAAGTTTAAATGAAGCACCTAGTTCTAGGATAAACAGTTGTGGCAAAGAAAAATGAAATATGGTAACCGAGAGGTAGAACTCACAAAAATGTAATAGGGAGTTCCCAGAAAGAGCTCATGGGAATAACACAGTGGTGCACGTCATTCTGTAGTCTCAAACTGTAAGATAATGAGCAGAGAAAGCCCCAAACTAAATCCAGAGGCTGATATGTTTCGGTAGGGGATTATGAATAACGTGGATTAATACATTTAATTTTATTTTTCACACCTCACAAACGCATATTTGTTAAATATTAGGAAATCTAAACATAATTTTGAAAAATACAAAATCACTTTTGAAGTGCATGTTATATACAGTTACAGTTGAGACTTATTATTTTGCTATAACTTATTAAAGGGACACTATAACAACTTTAGGCTAATGAAGCAGTTTTTGTGTATATATCATGCCTCTGAAGTTTAACCCCTTAAGGACGGAGCCAAATGTACACGTTGTGAACGAAACAAAATGTAAACAAAACCTGGCATTTGCGCTACATGTCTGTCCAACCGTAATTCACCTCTTTCATAGTAAATGCACCCACCCTTATTATATATCATTTTATTCAGGGGAAACAGGACTTTCATTTAATATCAAATATTTAGCTATGAAACATAATTTAATATGAAAAAAATGGGAGAACATAAGATTTTTTTAAATTTGTTTAGTTCTACATGACATTTTAACTGTCAATGTCCTAATACTGTTTGATTTTACAGCAATAAAATACACATATTTGTATTCAGCAAAGTCTCACGTGTAAAACAGTACCCCCTATGTACAAGTTTTAAAGCATTTTGGGAAGTTACAGGGTCAAATATAGCACATTACATTTGAAATTGAAATTCGCCAGATTGGTTACGTTGCCTTTGGGACTTTATAGTAGCCCAGGAATGAAATTTACACCCATAATGGCATACCATTTGCAATAGTAGACAACCCAAGGTATTGCAAATGGGGTATGTCCAGTCTTTTTTAGTAGCCATTTGGTCACAAACACTGGCCAAAGTTAGCGTTAGTATTTGTTTGTGTGTGAAAAATGCAAAAAACGCCAATTTTGACCAGTGTTTGTGACTAAGTGGCTACTAAAAAAGACTGGACATACCCCGTTTGCAATACCTTGGGTTGTCTACTATTGCAAATGGTATGCCATCATAGGGGTAATTTTCATTCTTGGGCTACCATAGGGTCTCAAAGGCAACGTAACCAATCTGGCGAATTTTAATGTGAAAAAAATGAAACGCAAGCCTTATATTTGACGCTGTAACTTTTGAAAACACCATAAAACCTGTACATGAGGGGTACTGTTGTACTCGGGAGACTTCGCTGAACACAAATATTTGTGTTTCAAAACAGTAAAAAGTATCACAGCAATAATATCGTTCGTGTAAGTGCTGTTTGTGCATGAAAAAGGCAAAAAAACTTCACTTTTACTGGCGATATCATCGTTGTAATACACTTTACTGCTTTGAAACACTAATATTTGTGTTCAGCGAAGTCTCCCGAGTAGAACAGTACCCCCCATGTACAGGTCTTATGGTGTCTTGGAAAGTTATAGGGTTAAATATAGTGCTAGCAAATTAAATTCCCTTTACTTTCGGCATGGGTTGTCAGGCAGGTCCTGCTAATTGTAATTAATTAAGATGCCTAATTATGTAAAAATATTACATAAATATATATGTAGAATATATATATATATATATATATATATATATATATATATATATATATATATATATATATACAAAAAACAAAAATAATTCCTGCACTCACGCTGATACCTCCCTTTGTGACCGGGTGCCAGCCATATATAGCCAAAGTATACAAAAATCCAAATAGATGGCTGCACTCACGGTATTATATAAAAGTCCAAAGTTTATTGAAGAGTCATAAGAAAATTTGCGATCAACGTTTCAGTCCTTCCAAAAGGACTTTCTTCAGGATCATAAAA